GATTCTGGCCGCCGCCTCCGCCGCCGCGCTTCGGGGGAGATGTGCCTATTGGCGCGCTGACGGAGTCGCGAGAAACTGAACGGAGGAGGAAGGAGAGGGCGAATGTGGGAGGGGAAGTGCGTTGTAGCGCGCGGAGTGGCGAAAGTGAGCGGGGGAGGAGTGGCGGAGCGGGTGAGAGTGGAGAGGGAGGAGTGGCCGGTGCTGGGTGGAGCGATGAAATGGGCGGGTGGAGTGGGGCAGGAGTGGGCATGGGCAAGGGGCGGGTCAGAGTGGCGGGGTAGTGTGGGCAGGGCAGAGTGTGCAGGGCAAGATGTGCAGCGCAGAGGTGTGCAGGGGCAGAGGTGGGCCGGGTCAGAGTGGGGGGTGGCAGAGTGGGCGGGGTAGAGTGGCGGCGGCAAGTGGGTGGGGCAGTGTGGGGCATGTGCGCGCCAGAGTGGACGGGGCAGGTGGACGGCAGTTGGACGGGGCAGAGTGGATCTGGAGCGGGAGAAGCGCGGAAAGCGGAAGAAGCGGTGAGAAGCGGAGAAGCGGGAGAAGCTGGGGTGAAGCGGCGCGCGTCGGCGGGCGGGCGGCGGCGGCGGGCGGGCGGGCGGCGGCGGCGGGGTCGGGGGCTGACGCAAACAACCGGGCAAGGCCGACGGGCAACCCGAGAGGCGGGCAGCGCGCATCGACTCCATTGTTTGAATTTGCGCAATATTTTCAACCGTCGCGCGAGCGGCTGCGCGCCCGGCGATCCGCGCCAGGATGGGGCCTGGAGAGCGCGCTTTCATTACGCGCGCCGCCGACAAAGACGGCGGCGGCCGGCCGAGAGCGCTTCCCCCGTCAATTGTGCGCCTCCGCGAGGCGCGCGCGCGCCGAGGGGGGGGAGGAGAGCGGAGGAGACCGCAGCCAATGAAGCGGAGTGCGCCGGCGCGGGCCCGCCGGGGGCCCGCGGGCGGCGATGAGATCGCGTTCTTTTCAAAAGGAGAAGAAAAAACACCGGCCCCTCGGAGAACGGCGGGAACAGGAATGTAGGGAAGAGAGATGATGAAAGAACGAAAAAGTGGAACCATGCCACGCATTATGGACGGGGACGACTGGAAAGAGAAATTGCGGAAAAGGATTGGAAAACTTGGGGAGTTGAAAGCAGGATGATTTTCCCCATTGGGATTGGGGGGTTTATGAGAGCAACGTCCATCTTCTCTCCCCGCCCCGCGCCGCCCCGCGCCGCCCCGCGCCGCCCCGCGCCGCCCCGGGTTGGGATTAGAATGCTTTCGTACGAGGAAAGAACGTTTCCGTATACAACATAATATGTCATGCGAGACCTACTTTCGAGACAATTTATTTTTAATCTTGGCGTTTGCCCGGCGGTTGCTTTCGTTTCCCGACAGAGATTGTCTCTTTCCCCAGGATTTTTGAAACGGGTATCAGAGTGGGTATGATGGTTTGTGGCCGATGTTGCCAAGTTCACAATGGAAATAGAAATACCTACATGTAAATTGTAGTTTGTAAAATGAAAATGAAGATTATAGGCAGTGATAAAAACGATATAAAATAGAATACGAGTTTCTCGGTCGTTGAAGAGAAGCTACGCTCTACTTTTATCACCTGCGTGAGCTGCTGTTATTTTTATGTAATAATTCTTGGTTTGATTCCTTCATGCGGAAAGAACAGCATGGACAAGTATGCCTATTCAATTTTTGAGCATAATCGTCTACGAAGTGTTCCCTCAAGTGTGAATATTCCTCAAATATTTGCATAGAGGC